CTAGGAAGCTTTGAAATTATGCAGTATGTTTTTTTTTAAACATCTTTAGACTCATTGTCTTTAAATACATATAATTATACAAACTATTATCATAAAAACAAAAGCCTGAAACTATTGTGATTTCCGCTCATATCCATCTCTGTAGAAGGAGACTTTACAAAAGTAAAAGTTGTTTTTAATAAATGGAAGAATAAAGTGATGCTAACGACAAAGAATGTAATGGATCCGGTCTCAGAAGCAAAGCTATTTCTTTAATGCATTTCTATAACCATCTGCTGCGGTTGTCTGTGAATAGATGGTGTTGATCTTGGTTTCTCTGTGAATGAATCGAGCACTATACTGTCCCGCTCAAAGCTAAATATGTCATAGATTGTAATTAATGCAGTGAAGCACCTCTCTGTAGTCAATATTTATTGGTTGGTAGTGAACAGCTTGTGTGCAGTGTGAGTAAAATCTGTGCATGCTGGTCTGCTTACACCTTATTTTGTTATTTTTCTATTTTACATGACAGTTTTCCAGTTAAGTTGGGCATCCTTATGTGGAGGAAATTAAGTGAAACTTTGTGATCTACGAGTTGTGATCGTGTGCAGCTAATTTGCATTGGGTAATATGGTTCTGAGTAAATGAAATGCCTAATGCAGTATGTTCACTGGCAACTTGCCGAAATAGCTATGTAAGAAATAATCTTGCTTTAGGAGTGGATAATGGGAAGGAAAACAAAAATGCATTGACATTATATATTTTTTAGATATTCGGTGCTCTGCAGTGACAGTGGTCGGAGAGGAAATTACATTATGTGAACATTACCAGTAGAAGCCTAGTTGTTACGATAATTCTCAGGCAAAGTAGACAAAATGTAGCTCTTATTTTAATAATTAATCTACTTTTTTAATAATGCTTTGGAAGATTAATAGAGTTGATAGCTAAATATGGGTTAGAAGTCAGTTCGAGTATAGGTATGTACTAAAATCTACTCTTAAACATGAACTGGAACTAAAGTGGTAAAGACTGTAGTATTGCTAAACACCAACACTTTTATTTTCTTTGCGTTGTTCTTGATAGCTATCATGCATTCTCATTATTCCCAATACAGAAGAGAGTGTATGTAAGGGGGGTGAGTGTCTTTCTCGGCAGCAAAGAAATGCTTTGGATGTTGTTATTGACTTTTATCTTTTCTGAAACACCAATCTGCTTCACAGCTAAGTCATTTCAGCTGGTTGGAAGCCACTTAAACTTTATCAAATGCTATAGTCACAAAACAGTAACCGGAGACCATTGCATGGCCAATATTATAATGACTCTGTGCAATGAACTTACGATCTTGTCCTTTTAGAAATGGTTGCTATGAAGATGGGCATCAGAGTCTGTGACAACTTGCCATGAGTTGCCATATTAAAAGTTACTTTGATGATATAATGACAATAAGGTGTAATCAGTCATCTGTGTATGATTGGGGTCCTGCTGTACTGTCTGCATCCAGAAATTCTCATTAACTACATAGATTCAGAGTCTAGCCAAAACCTCATAGATCTGAAACAGAAAGAAAATCTCCATAAATAGCAACGTAGTTGTTAGGGAATTTAATAAAAGTATCACATTGATGATCAACAACCTTGCTTTTATATAGCAATTAAACCAGAGTACAACCAGTTGACAACTAGTGAAGTCAAGTTGGACTCATTGGTGCAGAATGACGTAAATCGATTGCAGCATGTTGGCATTCTGCCATCTGTCCGCATTTATCAATTTGATGGAATTGTTTGCAGACTTTCATCAGACTTTAAGTGATCACAATCAGTTTTAGCTCAACTGCAATTTTTAGGTTGCCTCCTGCTTTTGCAGCAGCGACCTGTGCAATCACCTTGCAGTCTCAATATCTGGGGGAAGAGTTGGTCGCTGCAACTACTTGGTCATTGAATGTGAAATTTTTTTTGCATCCGCAAATTCTTTTTGTGGGGTTTCCTATGAGTTGCAGTGAGATTACTGTCTTATTTGTATTTGAGTAGGACTGAGCCAAAAAACAAAATTGCCTCAAATGAAAATTAGATGTAGTTTTAAAAACTATGATTAAAAACCCAGAACAAGAGCAGATTCTCAGAATTGAAAAATGTTTCTATCGATCACATAAAACATTTTTAAAAAATGTCATCTGTTATGAGAACAATTTCCATTTAATTTCATGTTGAATATTTGAGGAATTTCTCCAGCTCTCTGATAAAGCTGGAGAAAATAGAAAATAAATAACTACAAAAAAGGAAGATACAGCTTGTTGTGACACATAGTCTCTTATAGTGTAAGGGCCTCGATAGGGAAGTACATCAATCAAACAACTGTATCACTATTGGCTCTTCTGTATTGTGTGTGTGTGTTTGTGTGTTTTCATAGTCATAAAGCCAGTTCCACCTCTTTAATATGCACAAGGCATGTTGCGATTGTGTTCATTAAAACAGAATTCATGACACTCCTCCATAAGGCTGTTTGCCATGGTGGGCTTTCATTCATTAACACCAGTTGGTGGTCTGTATGAAGGTGTGTGTGTGTTTAAATATGTATGTGTTCTTTTTATTTATTTTGTTTTTTTTATTTTATATTTTATTACAGCCTTTATGATGTCCCTTTTGTCATGTGAAAGAAAAAGGTTGAACTATATTTGCAGGGTAGTGTTATTACTTTGGTAGTTTTTAAATAAGGGTACACTAAGGCCTATAAATACAGTGACCTTTTCTCTATTGGAGTAGGTAGTGGACAAAGCTATAATCATTTTCCGTGTAGTCATTGCCTGACTTCCCTTACGTTCATCAGGGTGCAGCCTTGAGAGGTATGATTGAGGTTATTTTTTTCATTTTTTTTCCTTCTGCGCTCAACATACCCCTCCGCCTCTTGTGGACTATTCCAAAGGGCAATGTAAGAGCGGGCAGGCTGCTATTAGAAAGCCAATATATTTGATATGGTTCATGGGTTACTGTACGGACTGATCTGTGGCCTGTCAAGTCATGTTAGTGTTCATACAGGTTGAAAAGGCAGACCACAGAGAAAATCACACTAATCTTGCTCTCATAAAACCCCTTGTAAATGAAGTCATCCTCACAAATCACACAGCTTCATGATTTTATTTATGTTTGCTGCTGAATCACCATATAAGCTGTGATGTTTGGCTCTCTTATTACGTCTTTTCCTCCTTTTTCCCCTCCTCCACACAGTGGTCAGAGATCAGGGTTTGTTGCAGAACTGCAACCTTATAGTCTTCCAGAAATAAATCTGTTACTCAAGGACACCTTTCACACATACGGTTTTTGGTTATTTTTTCATTTTAAATCCTCAATTCCTTAACCCTAGAATTCAATGAATACTGAATGACATTGTAGCCCTTGCTATTTTAAGGGTCACTTTATTTGAAAATACATTGGTTACTGCAAAATACAAGCTGCTCCATCTCTTCTGGTCATTCAGTTCCCACTTGCAGCAAGGTGGAGGTACTGCACATGTACACTGAGGGGCACATTGACCTTGTAAACAAACCCTCTCCTTGTGGTTTCCAATCAAAGTTATTATAGTTTTGTATTTTTCATGAGTTTTTATTCATATTTAATTTCAAATTTTTTCTTTCAATCCATTTTTAATTTGTTAGTTTCAAGAGTGGGTCCATTTAATATTTATTGTTTGAAATATTTAGTTTTAGTTAGTTTAGTTTAAGCTTTCAATTTATTATGATATGGTTAGTGTTTGGCATGGCAAAATGTTTTACGTTCAGACAAACACTGATGCCTTAACGTACTGGACTTGTAAAAGTCATGCTTGTATTTTGTGCATAAAAATAATTTTCAGACTCACCTCTTCTTAATGCAGCCATTGACATGCTCATCTGTAATGGCTTTCACAGTACAAAAACCTGTCCTGTAAACATGTCAAGTGCCAGTAAACATCTGGACCAAAGCCTCCTCATCCTTGTTCTGTTTTTTTACCATTTAAGTTTAGTTTAGTTTTAAGTATACTGACCTTGTTTCTAACCTTGTTTGTCAACTTAATTGGTAGGGAGCAGTTAATTCATTTAGGGACTTTTTCTTAAACAGTTCATAATTTATTTTAAATGACTCTCATTGTTCCTGTTCTTGTTCTTTTGCACAGTTATAGTTACATTCTCTCTTGAACCTCTGTGCACATGTATGTTGAGTTTTGCCTAAGAAGGAAGCACACAGGGAAAATTTCCCATTATGATAACCTTAAATCAAAAATTTGAAACGAGTTTGTGTAAAGGATATTGATCTTTGTCAGGTAGCTCTTGCACTTTTGCCAATGTTAGATGTTAGCTTAGATAGGCCACGCTGAAAAAGGTTTAGCCTAGGTAGTAGACCAAGATCATAGAAACCATCAAAAGACCATAGAAATTCTGTAGCTTGTATTGACGACAATGAAAATATTCATTAGTGAAGCAAAGACGGTGAATCCCAAATTTATAGAACTGCACTGTTTTCTTGTCACATTCCTAGGCTCATAAAATATTTGAAACCTCAAAGCAGAGAAGTGGAATTAAAGAGCTGCTGGATCCATTCACCATAAGGGTGGAGTCTTTGAACTACTAAAGTTAACTGATTGATTGATTGACTGATTGATTGTTATTGTAAATATGCTTGTCTAGTTAATCATTTTCTTTCATCAGTCCACTCAGTGGGAGGTTTTCAGGACACATGGGTGTAAATATGAATTAAAAAAAAAGAAATGTATTTCTTTGCTTTTTCCTACTGTGAATGGTTTACAGTGAACTTGACTTGCATAATTTATGGATCTCACTGACTCACTCTTTGAGTTGAGAAAAACACCTTCCTGTATTGATGGGAATTCCCCGAGGGGCTAGGGGACAGGGAAAAAGCCTGAATTAGATCCAGCCCTTGACAGGAGCCTAAATCCAGGCTTTCGATTTGTGTCTGGCAGGAACCTGTTTAGATCACGAGTTAAAGTCAGACAGAAGTGTAATGCTCTACGCCCCATTGTGTGTTTTCTAGGCTTTATGGGGCACAACAGCTATCCGGGTCCATGTGAACACAAGTACTGTGGCTTGGGACGCCATTGTGTGGTCAATCATGAGACCGAACAAGGGGAGTGCAAGTGCTTGGATCACTGCAAACCACACTACAAGCCGGTGTGCGGTTCAGATGGGAAACTCTACCAGAACCATTGTGAGCTCCACCGAACCTCGTGCATCAGAGGACACAGGATTACCATCATGCACAGTGAAGAGTGCTTCTACAAAGGTAAGAAGCTTTGTGACATATTTCTCATGACAGATGTGTTTTCTAGTCCACCTTGTACCTTTAGTAATGAACAGTATATGAAGTCAAAATGGCCCCGTCACTTGCAGGATTTAACATATTTAAGTTGCCATTAGAAATACCTTTGGATACACCCACTGCTTATTGTAACAATGTTCACTTGACAGTCATCTTGGTAATACTTCTGAGAGGTTATTTGGGCAATGTTTTTTTAAAGGCAGTGCTTAAATATGGTGGTTACCTGGCGATAAAAACTGCATGTGTAGGAAACGTCTAGAAAAACTTTACACTTTATGTCTCTATCTTTGCGGTTGTGAAATTCCATCCATCCATTTTCTTCCGCTTATCTGGGGCCGGGTCGCAGGGGCAGCAGCCCAAGCAGAGAAGCCCAGACCTCCCTCTCCCCAGCCACCTCCTCCAGCTTATCCGGCAGAACACCAAGGTGTTCCCAGGCCAGCCGAGAGATATAATCTGTCCAGCGTGTGCTGGGTCTCCTCCCGGTGGGACATGCCCAGAAAACCTCGCCCAGGAGACGCCCAGGGGGCATCCTTGTCAGATGCCCAACCACCTCAGCTGGCTCCTTTCGATGTGGAGGAACAGCGGCTTTACTCTGAGCCTCTCCCGGATGGCTGAACCTCTCACCCTATCTCTAAGGGAGAGGCCAGCCACCCTTTGGAGGAAACCCATTTCCGCCGCTTGTATTCACGATTTCGTTCTTTCGGTCACGACCCACAGCTCGTGACCATAGGTGAGGGTAGGCTTAGACCGACCGGTAAATTGAGAGCTTTGCTTTTACACTCAGCTCTCTCATCCCAGACCCGGAGTGGAAATTTCCACATAGATTTCAACTGATGATTTTATGGGGTATTACAACATATAGAAATTTGTTGTTGTCATTAATATGTTCTTTCTCACAAAAATTGACTGTGAGTCAGAGTCTGTTTAACGAGCCATGGTTGGTGTAGGTAAAAATGTACACAGTAAAGCAGTTATCCAGTATGGCATCTGCATTTTCATCTTGTCATAGAGAAAATAATGATGTTGTTGAATTCATATGGGAGTTTTATACAAGCAAACATCAAAAGCAGCATAGTAATTAGCAAGATATCAGCAGAACAGTTATGGTTGTGAAAAAGATGCATGCTTTGCTTCACATTTAGATATGTCATGTCAAAATTCAAGCAGATGATGTTAAAAAAAATCTGCCTGAATAACCAAATCAAAATTAACACATTACTGAACATGCAGACATCCATGACATTTTATTTACATTTACACTACCGTATTAATACCGCATAGTGAAAGGAGCTTAACAAAGAGGACGCTACCTGAAACCAGTCATATAGCTCTCTCTGGTTTGCAAAGCACACTTTAGAGGTAGGAGCAGGTGGTAGTGCTGTTGTGTTCATATTTCCCCAGAGAAGGCTGACTGCATTCTACCATTGATTGTATAAACATACCAATTATTCTTAGTCCCCGGAAACAGGCTCTTCTCCCTTCACAATGCTAGACATCACTGAAGTAAAAGCTCCTGACACTCTGCACCTTTTCCTTTCAGGTCAAAGGGGATTGATGAAAAATCCTCACATACAGCATATGCATAATATTCATGAGAGACTGCATCTGCATTGATTTGACAGGGTTTCTCCACATACTTGTTAACTTTGAAAAGTAACTTCATAAGAGACTAGGAATGGTGCTTGGATCTATATAGTGTCGCACATGAAACTCTCTGCGGTCCTCCTTACAGAGAGTTTTGAGGACAACATTCTCGGGATGTAAAACCAAAATAAACCAAAACAAAAACAAACAGCACATCCTCCTTACCCAAGTATGCCTTCTTCCACTACTGAAATGTTCAATTTAAAGATGAACAAAGCCTAAGTGTAGGTAGGAAAACAAGCATTTACATCAATTCCTTTTATAATACAAGAGCCGGCATACAAACCATCTTAAAACTGCAGCCTCATGACTTGGAATACGTTAAGGGAGCAAAAAAGCGATGCAGGTAAGGCAGTGTTAACACTTGAGCATGCATTTTATCCTAAAAACACAAAACGGCATCTAGATCAATGATCCTCCTGTGAGTGACTGTCCTAACTAGCTTGCCACATGTGCCCTGTCCTGTCAGGCTATCCCCTCCCCACCCATCAGCATCTGTTCGGAATGCAGAGTGGGATATTTGACCAGTGTCAGGTGATCAATATCAGATCAACAAGAGCCAAAAGAAGGGGGGGAAACACAGGGTCTTTTTTTCCCTTCTTTTTTTAAACATTGCATCCTTTGTTCAGTCCGGATAGTTTTTCTTTCTGCTGTGACTGATATGTAATCAATTTCTCATCGGATAAAAGCTCCAGGGAGAGGACACAGGAGCCTGTTGGAGCGATTAGTAATCACAGTATTATTTTTCTCCTCTGCACTTTAAAATATTTAGAAATTAAACCATAAATTATATTTTTAAAAATTGTTTGTGATTTTAAACTTTACATTGGAAAACAAAGCGATTGCTTAAATGTTAGACAGCTTCAGGGAATTTGTTCTTTGTTGCAAGTACAAAAGGCAGCGTAGCAGCGAGAGGAAAGGAATAATTGAGCAAATGTAATAGGGCTTACAGCCAGATCTAGATGTAATTATGATTCAGGGATTATTAGTGGGTAAAGCAGAATGTGCCCTCAATGGCATGTTAAATATGTTACTTGATTATTTGTCCTCCAGGTAATGGGTCCAATTTATGTAGCAACAGGAAGATATATACTCATTATCATAGCATAATAATGACTTTTCCTCCCTTCTTTCAGCATTAGCTGCCTCTAAAGCGCTTGCTTGGGTCCAGACCTTTGAGACTGTGGACTGTTTCTTTTGGTGCTGTGACATAAAACAGCAGTTTCTAAAAAAGAACAGTCATCAACTTGTCGGTTGACTAACAATTAACCAATCAGAACCATGAGTGAGATTAAAGCTGTATTTAAGCTTTCATTAGTAGAGGGTCAAGTTGTGCTCTGTCACAGGGATGATTTAAATGGCCAGTTCTTACTTAAAAAAACAAACAAAACAAAACATCCCCAGATATTGTTACTGAACAGTTAATTGGGGAATGGAATTGGACTGGTGTACAGGGAGTGCAGAATTATTAGGCAAATGAGTATTTTGTCCACATCATCCTCTTCATGCATGTTGTCTTACTCCAAGCTGTACAGGCTCGAAAGCCTACTACCAATTAAGCATATTAGGTGATGTGCATCTCTGTAATGAGAAGGGGTGTGGTCTAATGACATCAACACCCTATATCAGGTGTGCATAATTATTAGGCAACGTCCTTTCCTTTGGCAAAATGGGTCAAAAGAAGGACTTGACAGGCTCAGAAAAGTCAAAAATAGTGAGATATCTTGCAGAGGGATGCAGCAGTCTCAAAATTGCAAAGCTTCTGAAGCGTGATCATCGAACAATCAAGCGTTTCATTCAAAATAGTCAACAGGGTCGCAAGAAGCGTGTGGAAAAACCAAGGCGCAAAATAACTGCCCATGAACTGAGAAAAGTCAAGCGTGCAGCTGCCAAGATGCCACTTGCCACCAGTTTGGCCATATTTCAGAGCTGCAACATCACTGGAGTGCCCAAAAGCACAAGGTGTGCAATACTCAGAGACATGGCCAAGGTAAGAAAGGCTGAAAGACGACCACCACTGAACAAGACACACAAGCTGAAACGTCAAGACTGGGCCAAGAAATATCTCAAGACTGGTTTTTCTAAGGTTTTATGGACTGATGAAATGAGAGTGAGTCTTGATGGGCCAGATGGATGGGCCCGTGGCTGGATTGGTAAAGGGCAGAGAGCTCCAGTCCGACTCAGACGCCAGCAAGGTGGAGGTGGAGTACTGGTTTGGGCTGGTATCATCAAAGATGAGCTTGTGGGGCCTTTTCGGGTTGAGGATGGAGTCAAGCTCAACTCCCAGTCCTACTGCCAGTTTCTGGAAGACACCTTCTTCAAGCAGTGGTACAGGAAGAAGTCTGCATCCTTCAAGAAAAACATGATTTTCATGCAGGACAATGCTCCATCACACGCGTCCAAGTACTCCACAGCGTGGCTGGCAAGAAAGGGTATAAAAGAAGAAAAACTAATGACATGGCCTCCTTGTTCACCTGATCTGAACCCCATTGAGAACCTGTGGTCCATCATCAAATGTGAGATTTACAAGGAGGGAAAACAGTACACCTCTCTGAACAGTGTCTGGGAGGCTGTGGTTGCTGCTGCACGCAATGTTGATGGTGAACAGATCAAAACACTGACAGAATCCATGGATGGCAGGCTTTTGAGTGTCCTTGCAAAGAAAGGTGGCTATATTGGTCGCTGATTTGTTTTTGTTTTGTTTTTGAATGTCAGAAATGTATATTTGTGAATGTGGAGATGTTATATTGGTTTCACTGGTAAAAATAAATAATTGAAATGGGTATATATTTGTTTTTTGTTAAGTTGCCTAATAATTATGCACAGTAATAGTCACCTGCACACACAGATATCCCCCTAAAATAGCTAAAACTAAAAACAAACTAAAAACTACTTCCAAAAACATTCAGCTTTGATATTAACGAGTTTTTTTGGTTCATTGAGAACATGGTTGTTGTTCAATAATAAAATTATTCCTCAAAAATACAACTTGCCTAATAATTCTGCACTCCCTGTATATGGCATTTTATCTACCACAGCATTGCAAATTTAGAATTGATAATTAAGTTTTTAAGCATCACTTACACCACTGTGCTGCAAACTGTAGTAAGGTGCACATTGTACTTCTTTTTTTGAAATTGCATAAATTCAGGCTGATATTTATTGCTTGGCTAAGAAAAATCAAGTCCCTTACCCCATGACATTATTGATTGTGCACAATGACTGAAGATCTGACAAATCTAATGTTAGACTAAAGAGTTAAAGTTACCTTATTATATACAATAAAGCTTTCATTTAGATTTGGAAGATAGCTAAGCCAT